CAAAGAGACTCACAGCGATCGTTGCGCAATGGGAGAGATCGCAATTGCCAGGAAAGACAGCATGGCTCCTGGCCCGTCAAGAACCGTCGCGTCGCGTGCCTGTGACAAGAGCAGCTCGGCGAGAGGGAGAAGAAGGGAGGGGGAGGGGGGAGAGTTCGATTATGGAGGAGGAGGAAAGACGTTCAAGATGGTTTGGAATCGGTCAGAACGACTCAAGACAAGACACGAGATCTGGAGTCTCGAGTCGTCAGTTGCAATACCAATACAGATGCACTAGCGCAAGCACGCTGTTCTCTCTCTGGCCAAGTACGGTACCGTGGGCGGCACCGCCTCGAACAAGCGGGCCTGCAGAAGACCAAACCCCCTGCACCTCTCTTTTTGGGGGGGGGGGGAGGGGGTAAACTTGGGAGGTTGGTCTAGGCTTTGCTGCGAAGACCGAGTCCGCGAACAGGGGTCCCCACAGAACGACCTGGTGGCACGGGGACGGGTGGTACCAGGCGCGAACAGAATGAGGGACGAGGGGACGAGGGGGCCTGCAAATACCTGACGAAGTACCTCCCAAGGTGGACAGGCCTCTGCTGCCAGCATCCCAGCACGAGGAAAGTGGGCGGGTGGGCGCGGCAGAGGTCGGGTGACTTACTTGGTGGCAACAGACAACTTGTCGAGTGACTTGGATGATGGGCCGACGTACAAAGAGCTGGACTGATGAACGCCACTCACGGGAGGCCGCTCGTCTACGCGGCAGGCGTGCTGTCTGCGATGCGAGCAAAGCGGGTTCTTTTGCTCGGTAGAGAGGGAGGAGGGAGGCGATACGGAGTGTTTCTTGGTTTCTTACCCGTGGGTCCTCGTGATTGCTGACTGGGCGAAGCGCGCAGAGCTGGGAGGTAAGCAAGTAAGGTACCTGACCTAGGTACCTGAGGTAGGTAGGTCGGTCCCGCTAGCTGACAGTGTGTATCTGGGTGTTGTGTGTCTTGTTTTTTGGGGTATCCCAGTGGTTGGCGGCCACTGCATGCCAGGCCCTGGTCAAACGGAGACCCGAGGCGAGCTGCACAGCAAGCGTGGAGCTGGCGTGGATAGACGCCTGGTAGGTAGGCAGGTTAAGGTACTTGCGCAGAGAGGGGCCAGGGCAGATAGGTACCTTTCTGCAAGTACACGAATTCTTGGGCAGGCCCCGGAAGGAAACGGAAGTGGGGCGGCGAGATTGCCCAGACACTGATCGATCTGGCCCAAGGTTAGGTGCTCCGTGCCGTGTGCTGTCTGGCGACGTCCGTGTTGGTTAGGAGAGGAGGCCCAAGAATGGTGCTCGGTGCATGTGAGTCTGGCTTGCTCGGCCTCAACCTCCTGTGTGGGTGCGCTTGACCTCAAACTCCCTACTTTCCTTGACAGCGAAGCTTGTTGTCCGGCTTGCCGAGTTCCCTTGAGTAATTGCGCTTGCGCAATTTGTCGGACTGCTGTGGGCCTGGTGTTTGGGTTCGATAGATGTATGATGCAACGTGCTTGGTAACAGATTTAGACCTGGAGGACATGTGTCAGTGCATCTCAAAGCTGACACCGGGGCGTCGTTTTCCAACAGCCCAAGAAAACAGGACATGGACGGGCACGGCTGTCCTGGGCGTAGACATGGTGCTTTTAGAGGTTCGGCACAATAAAAGGAGAAAACATGGGGTCCAAGCGAGTGCCGTAGGACAATAACGCTTTGAAGCCATCCAGTCCACTGCGTCAACAAGCGGCCATGGGAATTGGGGGGAATAAGCATGGAGTTGTGCTGCAGGCCGGTTTTAGGCTGGCTCAGGTATGGCCCGACCACACTCAGTTCAATCACCACAGAGGATAAGGCACGAAAGCCGAGCACTGCCAACGTACCTGCAGAGGAGGGAGTTGAGCGAGCGTGATCTCGCGCAGCCAAAGAGAATGCTCCGAAGAGAGGGTAGCGACGGAGTAGGAAAAGGCTGCGTGGTTTGTTTTCAAAAATAAAAGAAAATATACAACCACCGTAGATGAAAGAGCTGGCTATTTCTTCGGAGAGAAGGGGGAAGTCGAGAACGCAACAGAAACGAGGAGCTGAATGGGGACAGGTAACGGATAACAACGATCAAGTTGGAGGCTCTGAGCTTATGCCGACAACGGGGACTGGATATTGTCTCTCTCCTTTCTTTCCCTCCCCTCTCTTCTCACGGCCTGAATTGAGTAAGACTGCTGACGCTAGATCAAGAAGACTGCAGGTGCCTGGCCGCACAGGTTTTGGTGGGGAGGGTCGGAATGTTCAGCTGGAACTACGTGGTGGTGTTGAGTGGTAGCCTGTCATACGGGCGAAGAGGCGATCTGGGATCCCAGCAGTATCCCGGCGATGACGTCCCCAGATTGTTGATGGGTGGTCCAGAACCTCATACCAGAGAAGTTGGCAGGGGATCATATTCAAGATGGTGTGAAGCCCTGCGGGTGACAGTCTTGATTAGTGGTGCTGTAGCGTGGTGATGTTGGTGCGTCGCGATGCGAATACATAGATAGGTAGATTCAGGAAGGCGGGTTCCAAGGGGCGCAGCAAATCTGGGCAGTCCGTCGATGTGAGAAAGTAGGCGGATCGGTGTTCAGCGATGATGCACCTCTTCTCAAAGAGGTGTCGATGCTACCTAGGGAGATAAAGCCATCTCGCGTTGCTTGCCTTTTCGAACTCGCCAGTTTCTCTGTTGAATTCGACTGGGCCGTTGCTACCTCACTACCTCACTACCAGGTGATGCCATCTCCTACCTTGCGCAAGGATCCCCGACCTTGCATGGCTTGCCAGAATGCCCAACGTAACGCAGGTAAGAGTTCTAGTGTCTTTGCGGAGAGAGTTGACCGGAAGTCAAGCTCTTGTGGCTGACCGAACTGCTGATGCGTTTCTCCAAAGCGTCTTTGCTTCTTTTCCTTCGCCGTTGACCTTGCCTGGTCTTGAAGGTGGTGGCACGAGACTAGGTACTCAGCATGCCATGTCGAATGTCAACCGACAGACTCGACCTCTAGCCATCACAGCATTCCGAACCGTCCTTCTCAGACGCAAGCGCGAAGGTACCCTGATCATATGCTGTGACAACTCCAGGCCACTTTTCGTTCCCTTGCCTTCCTTCATTCGGTAACTTGACTCGACACTTACCATTACCGCTGTTACTGCTGCAATGTGTTGGAAGGCGACCCCTGGTCTCTCAGACACTCTGCAATTTGATGGCGCTGATCAGTTGCCCCTCGGGAGTGCTTCCCTTCGAGTGTAAGATAGATACATGTTCTCGAGGTATGCTCCGACGAGGCAAGTAACTTTCCCAGACCGTTCGTTCAGCGCATCGATGATGAAAGACGTGAACCGACAGAAGGGGAATGGACCACCGACCAGGTGAAGGGACCAGACCAGGGGGCCGAGCATGCTTCATGCCAGCGGGCCCCAGTCCTCCCAGCGTCCAGAGCGGGCTGAGCGGCAGGGACAGGGAGCCACCCAAGACGCTAAGAACGCAATGGCGACGCCTGGCGTGCTGGCGTGCGAAAGTCGTAGTCGTGGTCCCCTTCCTCCTCCCCATTCTACTTTGGCCAGAAAAGGGATAGCGTGCCTGCCGCACACGTTGTTGTCCCGTGCTTGCCTTTCCTGTTCTGGTCGCATTCTCCAGGTTGGCATGTCTTCACGACGCTGTCCAGCTTCTTCATTAATTAATCAACAAGGTCAACATGGTTTCGTTTGGTGAGAGCTTCGCTTGATAAGCTGCATGATACATTTCGCAGGCTGCCTTTTTCCGAACTCACGACAGGCTCCTTCAGCCTAGTATGCCGTACGACCATCTTCCATTACGTTGTGTTCTAGTCGATCCTCGCGCAGTGCCTGGAAGCTCCGACCTCGACCATCAACAATCGCTGAATCCAGACCAGGCCCCGGCCTCCGCTGATCTCGACGTTATACTGGCTTCTTTTCTTTTGGCTACGTGTCTAGTTGTCTGTGCAGGGAACTTTGATTACACTCCTTAGCTGCACTGGCCGACTAGCAACGGCTTGCTCTTGGGGATGTCAAGCAGAGGCCCCTGATACGTTGGCGGTGCCAACATGGCGATCGAAACAGGAGCATACTTCTTGAGGATCGTGATCTCTCCTCTCCTGCACTCACTGACTGAACTGATTTCCCTACAAGACCTATCACCACGTACCCATTGGCACGACCTCTCATCGGATCACTTTTCACTCAGCACTATCAATCGTGGATTGACGATAGATACGGCTGGCTGAGCGACGACGACGAACAATCGCTACGACCGACCATCACAGAGATGATACTTGAGTCTCGGGCCTACCAGCTAGAAGACGATGGGAGGAAGAAACGCCACAGTTCTTGGAATGTGTCAACCCCCCCCCCCTTCCGGGAGTGCACTTGCGGTCAAGAGCAGTGTGTTCTTATGGCCTTAGCCCCATCAGCTCTCTTTGTCTGAAGGATAAGAAGTAGAAACCAAGTCTGTGTAGGATGTGACGGGGGTTCTTTTGCGTCTGGTTTTGCTTCTGCCACCGGTGGTTCAACCCCTGTCGCTTTCATGCCGGAATGCGTGACAAGCGACGAATGGCAGACTCGACACCGGTGATGCGACGTCAGCAATAGGCGGGGGACTCGAGACACGACGACACCCGATGGGCAGACGAAGAATGGCCGCCGACAGACGAGAGACC